ACTTTGAGAAGTACTGTTTAATTGGTTAACTCTGGAGTTTTTATTTTTTAAATCTTGTTTTATCTCATCTGCAGCGTTTACTTTATCTCAGAAATTCCTTCATCTTTAAATGTACTTAAACTTTAATTTCCACATCTGAGAACAGGTTAATATTACTCCACAGTTCTGGTTATTAAATGAGTATGTAAAGTGCTGAGCAATGGACTTAGCATATGGTAAGTGTTCAAAAAATGGTCATAAAGATGATGATGGTGACAATGAGGGTGATAAAATGGGGGCAGATGGAAACAAGAATCCCTTGATAACTTTATGACTTCTTTCCCTGAACACATTGGGCAGACTGAAAAGCGATAAACCCAAAGGGTTAAAATTGAACAAAACAGGTGATGTGGGTAAGAGAATAACTCTGTCTCTCTCCCTAAATCAAGAAACTTCCACTTCTGCTCCCCTTCTTTCCAAGCCTTCCTTCATCCCCTTGCCACAAGAGATGGGTGGAGTTAGCTGATTCTATTGTTCATGAGTGGGAGATTAGTCACCAGTCTAACTTAAAAGGCAGGACTGCAGACTCCACTCACTCTGTTTATAGCTCTTGCATTTTTAAGTCTTTGCCTGCCTGTGATAATAAGCAGATCTAAATAGAGCTCATTTAGTCCCCTGTTATTGGCCACCTATTTCTGCTTCTATTTCATCCCATATGCCTGAGAAGTAAGTCAACTCATGGCCCAATGTGAGTCTTGGCCTATCTCTCCTACCCATCCTAAAAAGGAATTCTGAGCTTGCTTTTCTGGATTCAGAAGAAAGTGGGAAACTCTACTTAGGTCTTGAGGCTTAATCCACCTTTCCTGCTTTGGAGATAATCAGGTGCAGGTGCAGCTAAAAGTCCTTCTTCACTTTCCATTTGTATCCAGCTAACGTATACACAGCATCCTCAGGGATCTTCCTAGTGGTGAGCAGGGCAGGATTTGGCCACTCTCAGGTCCCTGGAAATATCATCATATGACATAAAATCCCCGTTTCAAATGGAAATTAGGAGATATTTTAGTTGAATAATAATGACTGTATGACATATCAAAACATATGGGATACAGCTAAAGCAGTAATTAGAGGCAAATTTATAGATTTAAATGTATTCATTAGGAAAGAAGAAAAGTTGAAAACCAGTGGTCAAACTTGCAACTCAAAGAACTAAGAAAAGCAGCTAGTTAAATCCAAAGAAAGTACAGGAAGTGAATAATAAAATATGATCAGGGAAAAAACCCCAAAACACAATTTACCAACTTTCACATGAGAAAGTTGAATGTATGAAGAACCCCTTAGCTGTTAAATTACCTGAATCCATAATTTAAAGCTCTCTCACAAGTGAAACTCTGCTTAGATGGTTTCACTAGCGAATTTGCTGAAAAAAAATTTTTTGAATTAACAAAAATACTACAGGAATTCTTCTATAGATAGAAAAGAAGAAATAAATTTCAGTTCATCTAATGAATAATAGATGACAGACAATAACAATAATCTTTATACCAAAATCTGATGTAGACATTGAAAAGAAAAAGTTGAATACCAGTATCACTCAGGAACATGGGAACAAAACTTCTCAACAAAATAACAGCAAATCAGTGTTGAAATATATGAAAAAGATAATGCAACATTACTAAGTACATTTTATTCTAGAAAATAAAGTTGGTGTCACATTTGAAAATCCATTTAATTTGCAACATTAATATATAATCATCCCAACATATAGAGGAAAATATATTGATAATTTGATAAAGTTCATTCTATATTTATAATAGCAACTCCCGATGAATTAAAAATCAAAAGGAACTTCCTCAATAATTAGGTTAGTTAGAGGATATTTACCAAAAACAACCCACTATAGTTAATAGTCCTGGTGAAACACTGAATGCTTTAGCCTTGAGTTTGGAATAAGAAAAATTCTATTCAACATTTTATAGGTAATCCTACCCAATTACATAGGGCTTGCTACATAATTTGTGGGGTGAAAATTGAAATGAACATACAGTGCATTTTGAGATCCGAGAAAATACAGGGCCCCCAGTGGGGTAGGGAAGTCAATCTTCCCTTCCCTCAGGCCCAGACCTATGGGGACTGGTGAGTGGCACTGCAGAGCCTCTGGGTTGGTGAACACAGGGAGGTGCTGGGAGAGTGACGCACCCAGAGAGGGCATGGAAGCTCTGCTCCCCTTCTCACATAACATGCCCTATGCATCTCTTCCATCTGGATGTTCATCTGTATCCTTTATCATATCCTTTCACGATGAATAGGTAAATGTAAATAAAAATGTTTCTCTGAGCCACTCTAGCAAATTAATCAAATCCAGGGGGTTCGTTGGAACCTCCATCTACACCCAGTTATTCAGAAGCACAGATGGTAACCTGGGCTTGTGATTGGTGTCTGAAGTGTGTTGGGGGGCAGTCCTGTGGGACTGAATCTTTAACCTGTGGAATCTGATGCTATCTTCTGGTAGCTAGAGTCAGAATTGAGTTGAATGGTAGGACTCCCAGCTAGTGTTGCAAAGAATTGTTTGTCGTGGGGACAAATTCCCATACTTTTGTTGACCAGAAGTGTCAGAAGTGTGAATGTTTTGTGTGGGTAGTAAAGGAGACTCACAGGAAAAAAAGACATACAAGGAATAAATGGGTTTTCCCTTATATACGAAAGAAAAAAAAAATCTGTTTTGTTTCAATACACAGCCTTTTTTATAATGGCACCAAACCGTAAACAATCGAAACAACCCAAATGTCTGTTTCAAGGAGAATGGATAAGTAAATTGTATATTCATACAGAGGAACTCTAGATATCAATAAAAAAGAATGAACAACTGATACACAAAACAGTATTAATGAATTGCAAAGACGTTATTTTGAGTAAAGGAAGCCAGATCTGAGAATACATGCTGTACCGTCCTGTGTGATTCCAGTTGCGTGAAGTTCAAGAATAGGTGACAGAAGTCAGAATTATGACTTCTACCCCTCCTACACTTCTAGCGTGGAGAATGGGAGGGAGGGCTGTTGAATTTCAAGGGGCAGGTAGAGTTCGTCTGGAGTAACACAAATGTTCAATATGTAGATTGAGTTGGTATTACATAGATATAAACAAGTGTATAATTTCATTGAGTTGTAGGCCTAAGTTTTGTGCACTTCATTATATGTGTTGTACCACAATTACAAAAAAAAGGAGAGAGAAAAAAAGCAAAGATACAGTATTTTAAAATATTGACATAAATATCAGTGCCATCACCTGAGAGTTATGTGTAAGTCCATTGGGGAGGCAAGATGAGTGTGTAGAAGAGTGAGACCAAAAAAAGAGTGGTATTTGATTTTAAAAATATATGAGTACTATTTTGATAAAAATAAAATTTATTTTTAAAAAGAATGGAAAAAAGACTGCTGAGAATCTCAGACAAGATGAGGGCTGAAAAATATCTGTTGGCTTAAACACCAAAACCACTGATGTTAAGATGAGAGCTTCTTTTGGAGTGCTGTCAACAGAAGCCAGATTCAAGCGGAGGTGAGGAATGGGAGTTGAGGAAATAAGACAGTAAGTATAGACGATTCTTTCAACCAATCTGATTATTAAGGAGCAGAGAAGTATAGAAATGTGGCTGGTGGAGATACGAGCTTCAAGAAGACCATATTGAAATGGGAAAGATTCACTTATAGACATGTGACCAGATTATTACGAGAGAATGCAAAAAAAGAAGTTATTTTAGGGAAGAGCGTATATTCCTGTGCAGTTTCTTTTCAAGTGGCCAAGACTAGAAACCAAGCCTCTCCAGATCACAGCTGTCCCTCTGAATCGATGAGAGGGAAGCTCTGGGCTGTTATGAAGAGCAGACTGACCCATGTACAGGCAAAGGGCACTGTCTAGCATCCCTGGACGGAATGAACAGTAATCTCTGGCATCTGACCGTGTCAGAAGACTTCCTTGTCTACAGGACCACTTGGGAAGAGGTTCCGGGTGCTAAGTAAATACTTCTTTGAGGAGGATAAACAACAGAGATGCCCTTAATCCAGGGCCCCAGCTGCAGGGTTTTGGTGCAGGCTTGCAGGTGCCTGGGAGCACTGTGTCTCCACAGCGCAGAGGTAAGTGGCTGAGTCTTCAGGTTTGGAGTCTGTGATGTGCAGAGAACTTCCTTTCTCAAAGAGTGTAGCTCTTATTCTTTCTTTATGCTCTGGCTTCCCAACTGAGGACAGGAGGAAGAGGAGTTCAGGGCCTTTCCCAGGATCCTGCCTGTACCACAGTAGCCCTCTAAAATTGCTGACGGTGTAACTGCAGTTGAGGCTGATACTGTCTCCCTCCTGGGGTCTCAGGGTCTGAGGGCTCTGCTCCACCTGGTCTTCTCCACTCAACCCTGCTCAGGGAACCAAAATCAGAAACGATACAAAGCTTTCAGTTCAGCAGTTTTGAGAAATTCCAACAAGAAACCCAGCATGAGCTGAGGCTAAACCCCTCTCCCTTCTCCCCAGCTTTGGATAAATGTGCCCTTAGGGTTCTCATCTCTTTGCCTCCAACTTACAGCCAAACTGAAGCCACAAGACTATGAAGACACATTCCAGCATGTTCTCCATCTTGATATCTCAGTCTTGATAAAATTTGCGATGATTCCAAACCCTTTCTTCTCTGAGGAGCTGTTTCTGTGTCTTGGTTCTTGTTCTCTAATGCATGAGAGAGCCTTTCTGTTGGCAGCTCAGCCAATCAAAAGCAAATCCTCTAGTAACTGTCATGCTTTTGATGTTTAAGACATTGATGGAATGAGAGGAATGCAGCCACTGCCACCTCGTGGTCATGAACACAACCTCACAGTACCCACTTCACACCACCTATAAGTAAAAAGCCTGAGGGAAGGACATTTTTGATATTTGGTGAGCATAGTGTGTATGAGGTCAAAGCAGTGATCAGAAAAGCCTTCTCTCACCTGCACTTCTAATTGTTTCACTGTTCCCTGAATGGCTTTAAAGTTAAACTGCTGCCAGAGGTTATAAAAGGGTTGAACCCAAGGAAGGGTAGGTGAAATTGATTATAATACACAAGAATCTCAGCAGGTGAAACCTTCAAAGGGTTAGAGTGTTGAAAAGAGGGGAATCAACTAGGTTGTGGAAATGTCTGGAAACCTCTTTGACAAAGAATTGGGAATATAAGTTAAATCCATTTCTTCAAATAATTTTGTGCCTGGCTATAGGGACCAAGTGTGACTAAAACTCAGGGTCACAAACTTCATCGATCTTGGGGGCGGTGGGGGAAGAGCCTGGCAGAGAGATGAACTCTCCATTTCTAGATCTCAGAGAAATCAGAAAGCCACCTGGGAGATTACAGGGGGGTAACTATTATCTCTGCAAACCATAAACATTTTACATGACATAAATAATATACAGTAAAAGTACGTCTTCTTTCCTCATTTATCCTTCAGTACCACAGTTCATTCGTAGAGGAAACTACTTCTATCACACACACACATTCATTATTTTCAGACAAACCTATACACTCCACTCCGTGATTTGCTTTTTTTTCCCCACAAAATGGCCACATAGCATACCATTGCATGGATACACCACATTTTATTTCAGCAGTTTTGTATTTTTGCGATTTTAAACTATTTCCAATCTTTTACTACCACATATTATGCTGAAATGAATATTCTCATACAAGGATATTTGCCAACATGAACATATAAATTATTGAAAATGTAAAAACTATGACAAAGGATCCAGGCATCTTTCATTTAATAAGTATGGCCAAATGTCTCTAAAAAGCAGTAGAAATTTACACATTTACAATGTGTCAGTGTCTGTTTCTCCACTCCCTTGCCAACATATCATATAATTAGTTTTCTTTATCTTTCTTAATTTAATAGGTAAAAAATGCTAATCTAGAGAACCATTTTTTTATTTCTCTATATTGGTCAAGCTGGGATTTTAAAAATAATCATTAAATCTATTTGCATGTCTCTCTTTGAAAAGTCTATCCAACATTCTGTTTAAGTGTTGGCTTTGGAGTCAGAACGACAGGGTCAAACCAGCTCTATAGTTTGTTTGCTGTGAGATTCTGAACAAGCTCCTCAGTGACTATCTCTGTGACTTAGTTTCCTTAATTGAGTGATGGATAAAAAATAGTGCACATCTTATAGAATTTCTCTGAGAATCATTTGAAATATACATTGACATCAATAGATAGATAAAGTGTAGAATAAGGGCTAGGACACAGCAAACACGCAAGTAATATTAACTATGCGTTATTAATGCAATTTTCTTCTGGAGAGTTAATTTTATTGGTTTGCAAAATCTCTTTATACACTAAAGCTACATTTTCCCTATTTTTGCATTCTCTATTCCATTTTGGCGTTTGATTTTGGATTTTCTAAAGTGTTTCTGCAATGTGGAAATGTTTGAGTTTATATATTCTTTTTTTTTCTTTTGAGGAAGATTAGCCCTGAGCTAACGTCCACTGCCAATGCTCCTCTTCTTGCTGAGGAAGGTTGGCCCTGAGCTAACATCTGTGCCCATTTTGCTCTATTTTATATGTGGGACGCCTTCCACAGCATGGTTTGATAAGCAGTGGGTAGGTCCGTGCCTGGGATCTGAACCAGTGAACCCCAGGCCACCGAAGTGGAGCACGGGAACTTAACTGCTGTGCCACCAGGAAGGCCTCTGAGTTTATACATTCTTATTTATTGCTTATTCAAATGTATTCACTTTTATTCTGCCTTCTGAAGTTTGAGCCTTGCTTAGAAAGTCTCAACTCACTCTAAGATTACTTGTTAAAAATCCTGAAATTTCCTATTATGCTTAAAATTTAATATTCTAAGGCTACCATTTTGAATTATTTTGATCTATGGAGTAAGGTAAGAGGTCAATTTTTTTTAAGTGGCTAGTCAATTGCCTCGGCATTATCTGCTGAATGAGCTATTGTTTTCGCCCTGATTAATATTAACTTTGTAGGATAGTAATTTCCTACATGTAATTTGTTTCTATTTCTTTCTTCTCTCTTTTCTTCTATCAGTCTACCTACTTATACATCTGCTGGTACCAACTATTTTTAATTATTTTATTTTATAATACTATTTTATAAGCTTTATAATACTATTTAATGTGTGATAGATTTTGTCTCCACCCTGCTGCCATTATTCTTCTGTTTCAAAATTGTTTCTGATTTTCTGATATTTAGTCTTCACTTGAGTTTTAGAATCAGCATGTCTAGTTTCAAATAAATACATTAAAATTGCGAAGTAATCACATTTTAGACAATATCATGTTACTACAAAAGTAAGAATTTAGAGAGTATCTACCTCATGAAAATTAACTTCAATAATATCCCGATTTAAATTTCAAGCTGTTTTTCTAAGAATATTGAAACTAGCAACAGTGGGCTAAGATATATATGGCAAAACTAGCATTGCTTAATTTGTTTGATTCTATGACACACCGAAAGATTTTGTCATTGAACACGTGTTTATCTTGTTAAATTATCCACCATTTATATAAATTCTCTTTGGACTTGTCTAGATAGCACCCTCTAGCCCCATTAGCTACAACCCAGAGAAAGAGCATCAGCTGTCAGGTGCACAGTTTCACGTCACTCCATCCCACTCCGTAACCAGAGAAAATAAGCTACACAGAGTTTATTGTACTAACATTGTAAACAACCACTATTGCTCTTTGTTTTTTTCTTTGAGAACTGGATAACTTCTCAGTGACCCGAAATTTATTACACTAACTTGTATACAATTCATCATTCACTGATTTGATTTATTCTAGCCACACTTAGCAAACCGTGACCCTGACAAATCATATTTAATAGGCAGCTTTTCTCTGTTTCTGAATATGCGCATCTCAGAAAGAAGGTGACACAGATCACTGCTTCCTTCACCACCTTCACCACAATCAGTGCAGTGGTTCTCTGCAGGGAGGGAACTGAGAGGACCGAGGGTCTGAATGTGTGATGTGCAACAGAGCCAGAGCAGATGACTCACAGTTCAGAGTTTCACAAAAATTGTGTTTGATTTTTAAAAATATTTTTAATTTGAAAGAATTATAGATTCATGGAAGCTTCAGAGAATGCACAAGGAGGTCCCAATGTCCCTTTCCCCAGACCCGTCTAGTGGTATCTAAATCAGGAAACTGACATTGGTACAATCCACGGAGTTTATTTAAATTTCCCGTTTTACATGCCCTCGTGTGTGTGTGTAGTTCTATGTAAATTTACATATGTACTGATTCATGCATGCATGTATATCATATGTATAGATTCACTGCCACAATCAAATGCACATCTGTTTCATGACCATGAGGCTTCCTCGTGCTACCCCTTTGTATTCACACCCAACCACTCCTCTGTCATTAACCCCTCACAGGCACTACTGTGTTCTTATTCCTACAATTTTGTTATTTCAATAGTTATATAAATAGAATTATACAGTAGTAACCTTTTGAGATAGTTTTTCTTTCATTCAGCATGAGTAATAAAAGCATCAGGTCTATCAAAGTTACTGTGTGTATCCAACCTGTTTGTTCCTTTTTATTTCTGAGTAGTATTCCATGGTATGGATGTGCCACGCTTTGCTTAACCAGTGATCCACTGAAGGGCTTTTGGATTGTTTCCAGATTTTGGCTGTTATGAATAAAGCTGCTATGAATAGTCATGTACAGGTTTTTGTGTGAATATAAGTTTTCATTTCTCTAGAATAAGTACCCGAGTGTAAAATTGCTGGATCACATGGCAAGGCATGTTTAGTTTTATAAGAAACTGTCAAACTATTTTCCAGAGTGCCTGCACCATCTTACATTGCCACACGCAATGTGTGAATGATTCCATTTCTCCACATGCTTGCCAACATTTGGTGTTATTGCTATTTTTTATTTTAGACACTTTTAGGTGTGTAGTGACATTTCAATGTGGTTTTAATTTGCATTTGTCTGATGGTTAATTAGGTTGAAGATTTTTTCATGTGCCTATTTGCAATCTGTATATCCTCTTTGGTGAAATATCTATTTGAATCTTTTGCCCATGTTCTAATTGGTTGTTTTTATACTGCTCAGTTTTGAGAGTTCTTTATATATTCTAGATACAAGTCCTGTGTCAGATACATGGTTTGTAAATATTTGCTCCCAGTCTGTAGCTTATCCTTTCATCTTAACAGGGTCTTTTGAAGAGGAAACGTTTCTAGTTTTGATGAAGTCCATTGTGCGTGCCTGTGTGTGTATCATGCATTTGGTGTCAAATTTAAGAATTCTTCACCTAACCCCAGATCCTGAAGAATTTCTCCTATGTCTTTTTCTACAAGTTTGATATTTTTATGTTCTAAATTTAAGTTCATGATCCATTTTGAGTTAATTTTTTATAATGTTTATTTTGTAAAAGGAAGAATGTGTCATCATCTTTGTCTTAAGCTTTACCTATTTGCTGTGATCAAGTAACCAGCTCAAAGCAGCATAACCAAACTGTAGGTGTGGATTTCTCATAGAGGAGTGGAAAACTTTATACTTTGAGAATGCAAATTTCCCTTTTTATACTTAGTATGATTTCTCAACTAAAAAGTAAATTTAAAAACATAGGACACAAACCAACCCCTTCTTTACTCATCAGCCTCTGAAATCTCCTATATTACAGGATAATGGTTTTCCCAGTATAGATTTAGAAAATGGTTACAACTATTTTATGGTCAAGAATAACTATAATCTTTTCTAACATTCAGATTCTT